GTGAGTACATGTCTTCCCTCTTTAATTGATCTGTTACCGTTAGCTCTTGCTAATTAATAAACGAACCTAATATTGTTGCATTGTTTATTGCTAATATTTAAAGGGGATGGGGAACTGGACAAAGCCATTTAAATGACAGGATTGGTTAAAGAGCTAGTTATGCATGTTAGTTACTTAATTGAAAAATCGTTGTATAGATATCATTCAGGAGATATGATGGCAGTTATTTTTCAGTACCCTAATTATCCCAAGGGCTAATCATATTGTACAATATTTTTTGAATTTAAATTTCAGTTTTTACTACTTGCCTATATATATTGTATATGGGAAGGCCTTTATATGCTTTTCTGTATTTATATTTCCTTATCATCTACCTTGGTCTTAACCATGCGTTTTTGTTACTTCTCTTTCTAGATATCACCTTTGCATAAATATCTCACGAGGTGTACACCACACCTTTTAACCTATTTTAGAAGTTGTAGTGATCCTTTTCATCAAGAATGAATCTTTTTTTTGAATGATTACTCTCCATGAATTCTCTTCATAGGTCATATGATGAATCCACCATATCTCTTACGAATGAAATGTTTGACCATATTTTCTGAAAAGCATTTCCAAGTTTAGGTTTCAACTCAAATCACGATGAGCTATTTTAAGTTTGGCACGCTTCTTTTAGCCTGCTATAAAGAGGCACAGATGTGCATATGATGAAGTTGATGGCTTTCTCATTTGCTTTAGTTGCTATATTTCTGTTGTAAATTTTGCAGCTGCTTGCTGATTCTTACCTCATATTGAATGCAGGTGAGAAACCTTGAGCGAGCCTACTTCAAGATGTGGAATTTATATTGTGCTGGCCAGCATCCTCAGCCATTCAAAGTGACTGAGAATGATTTAGAATGCCCTTATGACAGATAGTATGAATTGCAATGCAAGATAACAACACAATGCAAGATAACAACATTGTAGATATCCTGAAGAGCCTAAGTTAAGGTAGAATGATTTGTTATGGAGATTATATTGTGTTATAGGTATTTAAGTGCTGGAGCTGTCAGGCCTTGAAACTCAGGTAATTGTTGCTTTGCACTTACGGGATGATTGGAGAAGGGGGAAAAGATCTGCTTAATTTTTTTTTTTGGAGTGCATTGCTCCTCTCCATCTCTATTTTTCCACTGATATTTCTTTCTTTGGTCTTTCCTCTCGAGGAACAATAATGGTGTTGTTGTGACATTCAACGAAGAATAACGCTGATGTTGATTCAACAAGGTGGTCCATGCTGACATATATTATTGAACGGCTAATTCATCATTCAGGTAGAATAGGGTGTCAATAAGAAATTAGTTAACATATGCTAATCTTATAGCTGTATGTGATGCTCTCACTGAGATTCGTGGTGATCACCCTTGAAGCTGCAAGTAACCAATGATGAACCCTTGAACTTAATATTTTCGTGATGGGTGACCGTCGTGCAGCTGCTGTACGTGGTTGGGTTTAGATGCTGCACATGATGGAAGTTATGATGTAGTAGGGGGAAGGAGAAGAAGGTTTCTGGATGTTGGAAATTTAGGGGTGTGGTTGGGTGGCTATGATAATATTGACCTAGGAAGGCGATAAAATAAGTCTCTGGAAATAGGAAGCTGGGTTTAATTTTCGGTAGTCCTAGTGTCTGAATGTGTGAGGGTGGTAGACTGGTAGGTAGAGGCAGAAAGCTTTAGCATTCCTAATGATGTCAACTATGTCGAAGCTGCGCAAAAGGAAGGCAGGTAGTAATCTTATCCATACTAATACTAATTTGTCACAGGTAAACGGATTTTCTAAACTCAAAAGACGAGATAATATAAACAATAAACTAAACTATACATCAAGATTTGAGGGGGGGGGGGGGGGGGGGAACTCTTTCTAAGGCAATAAAGTGGCAAGAGGTGAAGATTTGCACTTGAAAGGGGAGGTTCTCACAAATTCATTCTTTGAGTATTTACAAACAAGTACTCCGTGTTTGTTACTCGACTGAAATCTTACTCGGACTTGTGACATTATGGTTAAAGAGTAGCAACCATTCTTTAACTTTCGTCAAGAGACTAACTTGGAACAACTCAAATTTACTTGCCAAACTTATCAGTGAGCAGAACTTGACATTCGTTTGAAATTTGGTTTACAGAAAAGTTTGAAGATATTTTTTTAATTTAAAAAAATTGGGGTTAATAATGATTTTATATCGCGATTAACCGATTATATATTTATTAATCGTATTCAGCCAAAATCCAGTACAACAAGCTTAATATAGAAGTACCGAAAAACATCAAATGGAAAATTAGGGATAATCCGGAAAATTCAAAGTCATTATTTATTATTGATGAAAGGATGAACAACTTGTTATTGTTAATCACAGAAGTCAGAAAAGCAAATTATCACTAATTAGCATCATCTTTAACCAAGAACAAAAATATTATACTCTCAGCACTTGAGCAGCTTCCTACATTTGTTCAGTCGGAACATCTGAAAATTTGGGCCTTGGAGATGGGCCAAAGTTGAGCAATTTTTTGGACTCCTGAACCCAAGGCTTAACCACCACCACCGCATCAAAAGTCCTACTAACACCGCCTTGCACGGCTTCAACCTTAAGGTAGTATTTAATCCCGGAAACAACCTGCCTTTGCGCCTCCACCACCTCCACAAAATCCAATGACTGGTTCGATACGCTTTGAAGCGGGCTCGGCTGCTTGCTTAAGATCCCCTTGTTGTACTCCTCTACTGAAAACTTGCCTAGTTCTTGAACTTCCTTGTTAGTTTTTACGTCTTTTACTTGTGTTCTTGCTCCTACCATTCTTCCTCTATGTACTGCATTCACCTTTGTAGTGAAGATGAAGAGTAGTAGTAGAAGAAGAGATACAATAGTTTGTTTATGCATTTTTAGATTTGTATATTTTTTTTGAAGGGATATGAATTTGATGAACAAGTGTAAGAAATGGGAGAAAGTGTCAAAAACATTAGTGTAGAAGGGTATAAATAGGTAGGAGAAATTACGAGAAAAAAAAGGTGAGAATTTCGAGACGTATAATACGAAAGAGTAGGAGATAGGAAGAAAGAGAAGGTGGAAGCATGAACGGTGTGCCGCGTTTGATAATACATGCAAAAAAACAGACATCTATTAGAAAAAACAGCAGTGTGAGTATGAGTGGAATTTTGGACTGTAAGGCTAAAGCGGTGGGGGGATAAACTCCAATTTTGGCGTTACGTGATTTAAATTCAACTCGATAAAATTGGAATGATACAGAGAAGATTACTCCAATAACACTTATTTAAAAGTGGAATGTAGAGATCGGGATTTGGGATGGTTAAAATAGTCTTCCTAATATAAAATTACTTGATCAATAAGTTATAGTGTTATACCATGACTTACAAATAATTGGGACATGTTTTTATTTAGCCAATATGAGCTGATTGATCACTATAATTAGCTAATTGGATTGTTTGGCGGTAATCGAATTTAAAGAGCTTATTTTACAATAAATTAGTAAAAATCAATTCAAATTAGATTTATATTTAGCTTTTCACCAAATACGACTTTAGTCATTGGTAATATAATACGGAGTATTAGTCAAATACAAGTATTGTTACGCAATACAAGCCTCTAATAACAGAAAAATTAAACTACTAAGCTAGTAACCTTTTTTGTCGTGGAGTTGAGATGAACCATGCATTTTTGTTTGGACCTAAATGCTAGCGTGGCGGTCATGCATAGCAAAACGTGCGCTCACTTCACGTGATTGGTGTGAGAGGTGGCGTTTGTAATTGAATCAATCAATCATTTTCTTAGTTTTGGTTTCTTGTATATTGTACGGTTACGAGTACCATGCTCATCCCATGCCCTATTCCCCGCTTCAAAGTTGCTCAACAACCTTATCATTCATCCCTCGGGTGTTTAATTAGGAGTTTTTTGATAAATTAAAACACATAGAGTTGTTTGACGATTTCAAAAAATAATATAGGGTGGGTGATTGGTTAAGAGTTTCTTTTGTTTCAAAAAGCGCTTAACCAAACACCCCAATATAAGAAGCAGAGAAGAGCTTTTAAAAATGCTTTTAGCTTTTTAATTGTTTTAGCATTTAAAAATTGTCGACTTTGTATCCCATATTTCATTGATCTTGGGAAATGAATGGAAGAACAAAGAGCACACAAGTATTGACAAACAACAAATCGAGCTAATGGGGGAGGTAAAAAAGACAACAAAGTAAAAACTCATTGCCCTTTAATTTCTTACCGTTGTTAACTCCAAACAATAAGGGATAGTAATTAATTAATCAATTAATTAATTCAGTTTCAAAACAAAATGTTACTTGACTATTTATAATCATCAAATGTAAAAGGTATTTCAAGGAAACGAAAGAACAATTCACTTGACTATTATTGAACAATTCCTTGAGCCTCTTTTCATGAGCTTCAACGTGTTGTCAAGTAACATCTTAGCTTCTATTGTCACTGGACGTAATGGATGACTAAAACAAATAAGAATGAGATTCTCCAAAACAAATGAGTTTCTCAAAAAATATTTAACCACTTCCATTTCCCATTGTGTACAAAAATAGTCGTATATTGTGATTCTTTTGAGTTGAACCCTTAAACAAGATGGTATTTCTTCACTTTTACTCCATGCCTCACATTCCTCCAGGAATACCTCCCTATATCTCTCTTCTAGTACGTCGTTGTCCATCGTGATTCCCTACAGAGATGATCGGAGATTGATATAGCCAGTATATATCATTTTCCGAATAATAATAGTAGTAATACTATCTATGTTAATTTATAATTGCAATAAAATTGAATTGTGTAAGTCTCACGGATAAAACCCTTTGTTACTACTAAAAATTAACGGAGATAGTAATTAATAATAATCCAATTACAGTTAGTGTTTTGTATATGAATGGATACTTGAATAGTGAAAGTCAAGTTGTAGCGATTAAATAATTGAGAGAGGAGTAAAGGTAAATGACACTGACCTCCATAAAAGTGAGTGTTTCCAGAAAAGGTGCACGGTGTAGGAGCTCTATCAATACGCTATTCCAATTATAATAACCCTCACAACCAAGCTGCAAATGCTTGAGGTTACCAAACAAAGGCAGCTTAAGATTTATTATTGTACCACAAGCTATCGATGCCTACAAACAAAAGAGCAATATAATACCGTCATTGATCAAATTAAATACTAGTGTATCTGCAACTTTGAAATATTTTATACGAAATATCTCACATATAATACCTTAAAGTTACAGATAGAAGATAGAAATTAACAGAGATAGTAAAAAGGTAATTTAAACTTGTTAAAGGATGGATCAAAGATAAAACTATGCATTGTATCTGTAGTCCTTGACATGAGATACAAACTTTGGACATTAGACAACCAGCTGAAAATACCGAATATAGAACCATCGAGATAAAGTTCTACAACATCGACTTGAGCATTGACTAGATTGTTCATTTTGGTGATGGAGTAGATGAACACCGTAGAGTCCACATACGTTAGATGCTCGAGATTAGGAACATCAAGCTCAAACTCTCTCCTTGGGAGCCTTTTAGTCGTAAAACTCGTAAGATCAATCCACGTATTACCAAGAAAATTGATAACTAATCTACGAAGAAATTGGGTACATTAAGCACTTTTCCTAGCCTTAGACTGTGTGCATTAGTTACATGACTTACATCACCTTCAGGAACATAAGAGCAATCTACCATAAATAATTGAGGAGAGTTAACTACGACTCCGCAATCTTTTTGCACCTCTATGTTTCTAGAGATCTCGTGTCATTCCTTCATATCTTACCTTATAAAGTTAAAAGTGGTCTCAATGATCTCGCGTCTTACCATCCATCCACGTCATTTTGGCGGCGTTTTAAGGTGGGTCAACATCAGAAATTAAGTTTAGCTAAATTTATTAGTCACATAAAAATCTTTAATACTAGTAGTAACTAGTAAGGAAATTGTAATCCTCCAAGGTCAAAACTAGCAGCCAATTTTAAGTCTTGAATAATGGATTGAAATTTGTAAAGGTCAAAACTAGAAGCCAATTTATAGCAGCCAATTTTGTAATAAACTCTGTTTAACAAATTTAATGCACCCAAAAAAGCTGAACATCGAATGGTTTTGCTCACATTATCTCCACCAACTTAGATCCTGTGCAAAACTTCAATCTCTCTCCTCTGGCCAAAAACTCCATACCCAGATCACCAAACTTGGTCTCCATCATTATGGCCCAATACCCAACTCCCTTGTTGAAATGTATGGCAAATGTGGTGTTATTGATCATGCCCTCAAAGTGTTCGACGAAATGCCTCAAAGACATCTTGTATCCTGGGCTTCAATTCTTACTGCTTTTAATCATGCTGGTTTTCCCCATAAAACGCTTTCTTTGTTCCTTGGAATGTGGGAGCTTGATAAGTTACTGCCTGATCATTTTGTGATTGCTAGTCTTGTTAGGTCCTGTGCTAGCTTGGTTGATGTTAGGCTTGGTAAACAAGTGCATGCTCATTTTGTTCTGTCACCCTTTTATGAGGATGATGTTGTTAAGTCGTCGCTTGTTGATTTATACTCAAAATGTGGGTTCCTTGACTATGCTAGGATGGTTTTCGATTCGATTAAGGTGAAAAATACGATTTCTTGGACGGCTTTGGTCTCGGGTTATGCTCGAATTGGACGGAAAACTGATGCTGTGGAGCTTTTCAGGAGGATGCCTGACAAGAATTTGTTGTCTTGGAGTGCTTTGATATCTGGGTTGGTGCATAGTGGTCATGGGAATGATGCTTGTAGTATCTATAGTAATATGAGAAGAGAGGTTGATCATGGTGCTGACCCATATATTCTTTCAAGTGTTATTGCAGCATCTGCTAATATGGCAGCACTACAGCTAGGGAAGCAATTACACTGCTTGGTTCTATTGCTCGGGTTTGAACGTAATTTGTTCATCTCCAATTCACTCATTGATATGTATGCCAAATGCAGTGATCTTTTAGCAGCAAAAGGCATTTTTTCATGTATGTACGAAAGAGATGTTGTGTCTTGGACTTCTATCATAGTTGGGATGGCTCAACACGGCCAAGCAAAAGAAGCATTGGCTCTGTACGATGAGATGGTTATTGGTGGTGTAAAACCAAATGAAGTGACATTTCTAGGATTGATTTATGCATGTAGTCATGTAGGTTTAGTCAACAAAGGCCGGCATTTCTTTGATACAATGGTTCAAGATTATGGAATGAAGCCCTCGTTGCATCATTACACATGCCTATTAGATGTTCTTAGCCGTTCTGGTCACCTTGATGAGGCTGAAAAACTCCTAAAGACAATGCCATATCATCCTGATGAAGCTGCTTGGGCTGCTCTGTTAAGTGCTTGCAGGAAACACAAAAATACAGAGGTTGCTATAAGGGTTGCTGATCATTTACTGTGCTTGGGGCCTGAAGACCCTTCTTCTTACATTTTGCTTTCTAATACATATGCTTCTGCTTCTATGTGGGATAATGTGTCTAAAGTTCGCAAATTGATGTCTACTATGGATTTGAAGAGAGAGCCTGGTTATAGCTGTATTGAACTTGCAAAGGAGAGTCAAGTGTTTTATGCAGGGCAGACATCTCATCCTATGCAGGAAAAACTTATTGGTTTGCTTGAGGAGTTGGATTTGGAGATGAGAAAAAGAGGTTATGTTCCAGATACTAGTTATGTTTTACATGAACTGGAGCAGCATGAGAAGGAGAGACATTTGTTGTGGCATAGTGAAAGGTGGGCTGTAGCATATGGCTTGCTTAAATCTGCTCCTGGTACCACCATACGCATAGTGAAAAATTTACGAACTTGTGGGGATTGTCACACGGTTTTAAAATTCATAAGCAGCATCGTAAAGAGGGAGATCATTGTTCGAGATATCAACAGGTTTCATCATTTTAAGGATGGTAGCTGTTCTTGTGGTGATTTTTGGTAGGCACTTACAAGCCGAGTATCTGTATACAGGACGTAATCTACCTCTTCATTGCTCAGGAACTCGATTAAGGAGTATTATAAAGGTTTATAGCAACCTTTTCTTAAATCTTCATATTTATGGTACTCTAAACACACACACACACCATTCCTAACGTTAGTACTCTATCTCTGTGGCTTACATCTTGACACGGAATAATAAATTAAATTCAAACAATGGTTGATTTTGATTGGCATCTAATCTACTTTGCAGGGATTGATCTGTTGCTGTAATGGTAAAGACGTATTTGGCGATTTAAAGAAGACCCTCAAGGAAGAATTTTTTTTTTTTGAAAAAACTCTAGCAGTGATTCCTTCATGTTGCAGATCTCATCTTAAAAGAATTGTGATTGGTTCGTACTTTGGGAAGAAGCGGGAACTATATGTGATACGGTTTTTGCTGAGACATGCATTTGTGTTGGAGGAATTGATCTTAAGGAGAGGACGTGATTATTATGTTCCAGTATCAGATCAAATGACGCTCCAACGGGCCGTGCAGAGTTTACCAAGGGCCTCAGCTAAATGTACAATTCGGGTGCAGGATTCACAGTCCGACACAATTTGATGTAATGAGAGGACGTGAGTATGCTCCAATATCAGTCATTTACTAATGTAATGTGATGTAATGACTTATATAATAGTTATTGCTTCTATTATTACTTTATTCAAATACTACGTATGTAATGGTAATAATAAAAGTAAATTTAAATTATATCCCTATCTCTAAAACAATATGTAATTTTAATGAATATATGTTAGGGGCTCAGGGCATATTGAACTTCGCTTCATTCTACACTAAATCTAATATATATATATATATATATATATATATATATATATATATATATATATATATATAAAGGGGAGTTTTTTTACGAGTTTTTAAAGAGTCATGTAGGATTTAATTATCTTAGCGCGTCATGTTGGATAAATGCCACGTAAGCAAAATTGGCGAATCATATTTTTAAGTTTAAATTAATTAAATATATAATATTATCTTTTGATTTTATGAATTTTATCTAAATATGTAACAAATTTTAGCACATAAATAAAAAAAAATATATATATTTTAGAAAATTCAAACAAATCGTGCATCGCACGAGCTTCATCTAGTAGACATATACTTCGTACTATACATAAACAGTACTTAATCAAAAGTAGACAATATAATACGGTGTTAGGGGTAAGAATTATCCCACCTTGAGTTAGGCGTACCAAGACTATTTTATCTCAATTGAACCACCAAAAATAACCCAAATTGAGCAACTTAAATGAGCACCAATGGAGCATGGGTAACACCTAGTTCAAGGGAGCCTATGTACAAGACGAAGGTCCTCCGTCCAGGATTCGTCTTTGTACACAAAAAATGACAGATTAAGTATCATAATTAAAATTTTCTAACTGATACTTTTCTGAAGTCTCATAAAAATCTCATGACTAAAATCTCATGATCAATAAAGAGTCTTCAATTTTGGGCAGCAACCGTGGTGCTTGTAAGTTCTCATGCGTTAAAAGAGCTTGTAACACGGTATCTCACCTTGTGGCATGGTGGGATATGAGTGATATATTAACTTTTCCCAATATCAAGTGAGGAGAAAGAACCAGATAAAGATCCATAACCTGGAGAATATTAAACACATCAAGAATTGTCTTTCCAGGAATCCAAAATGGATAATCATAAGAGAACCTTCATTTCTTACTATTCGCATTCACAAAATGCACTGAAACTTAAGTGAACTAGCCTTTCATTCACAAATGTCAAGGTAAAATAGAAAACAGAAAATTGAACTATAACAATATTGACAGAAACAGAATATAGTCCAGATTTTCTGACAAACTTGGATGCATATATATGAATTTATGCCTAGAGAGCTCTGTAAATTCCCAGCAAGGATGCCATACTAGAAACTGGATTGATCGGTCACTTTTCTATTCTTCTGTGCGGAAGTGTAAAGGATAATATCGAGTTAGTCGAATTCTCACCCATTTACGAGGTTACTCGTGTTATAGGTACGGTCCATACTGCTGGTCTCTTCCCGTTGATAAAATGTAATGTTTTGGATTATCCCTTGTACTTTCCCATATTATTTCAAGCTACATATTTTTTGATATTCTACTAAAAAAGAGTACAAATCAAAGATTACAAGTCCTCTAAATAGAAACTAACCAAAAAATTACATTATACAGAGTAACTTTAATCTGTCCAGTCAAGTTACTCCTTAGAGCCCCATCCAGCTTCTTTAGTCTATGATGAAGCTAAATAATTGACTTATTCCACAACAATGGCCAACGTAACTTATCAATCAGGATCGCAACACTTTCCTCATCTGGGTCCTGATAAAACTGAGTCGGAAAGTTGGGTTATTGGCTCAATTGATGGGTGTCCATCTGTGTTCAAAATTGCACAGGAATAGTCAGTAATAGCCTCTAGAGCTATTGCACCTCCATGTCCTTCCAATAGTTTCACCACCATTGACATGACAGGACGTCGAGTTGGCTCTGTATGCAAACACCACAATGCAATTTTTATAATCTTCTCAACGTCTTCAACATTTTGCCTTGTATCCTCATTGCATTCGTTTAGTAGATCAAACAACTGGCACTCCTCAACCTTCTGTTTGACCAGTTGGATGAGAGTGCTTTCCTCAGGTTGAGAGTAGTCCAAGTTCTTCCTCCCAAACACTACTTCTAAGACTACAACCCCATAACTATACACATCCGCTATCTCTGTGATCTTTCGACCTAACCATTCAGGGGCAAGGTACCCTCGAGTTCCTCTCATTTGAGTCATTACATAACTTTCATCCTTGTCAAAAAGTTTTGCAAGACCAAAATCAGATATTTTGGCATTAAGGGCGTCATCTAGAAGTACATTTTGGGGTTTTACATCTAGATGAGCTATTCTTTTTTGACACTCCTCATGCAAATACGCCAACCCCTTTGCAATTTGCAAGATGATCTTTCTCTTAGCATCCCATCTAAGGATGCCTCTTGGATTTGCGCTAAAAATCCATTTATCTAATGAACCATTACTCAAGTACTCATAAACCAAAAGTCTGTGTTTGTTTTCAGCACAATATCCAACCAATTTCACTAAATTCACATGGTGTATGCAGCCTATGGTCTGAACCTCTGCTAAAAATTCCTTTCGTCCTTGTCCAAGATTATCCAAACGCTTTACTGCAATTTTTGTTCCAATCCTCAAACTTCCTTCAAAAACAGAACCAAAGCCACCGACCCCAAGTTTCTTCTTAACATCAAAATTGTTAGTTGCATCCATCAAGCTTTGATAACTAAATTTCACAGGAAAATTAGGAGCCAGTTGTGAGAAACTCTCCCCCTCTTCCTGGGATTCTATCCGTTGCCTTTTCTTCCTGTAACACTTGTACATAAACATCATGAGAACAACAACGGTGATCACCACCGCAGCCACTGAAGCATAGGGAATAAAAGAACTCTTTGAACCCCCACCCGACTCAGAAGAGGAGCTTCCCCCAGAACCCGGAGAACCAGGTGGAGCAACATGCTTCCCAATATTCTTATTCCCAGAAACGAGCAAAATCACCCCAGGACTAAAACGCGGAACTTTCCCACTAATGTCATTATTTGTCAAATCAATCTTCTTAAGCTTGGGCAAGGAAGCTAAAGAAGCAGGGATAGTGCCATTCAGATTATTATTACTCAAATTCAATTCCGTCAACGATGTCAAATTCGCAAATGCAGGGGAAATGGTACCCGAAAACCCTTGTTTCGCGAAATTAACACTAACTACACGGTGGCTCGAATCACAGGTCACAAAAATCCAGCTATTACAAGCATCATTACCAATCCAAGCATCAGCTAACTTAATTGGATATCCTAAAGCCCCAGCAATATTAAGCAAAGCAGTAACCTGAGGATCACAATCCCCAGTAACATTCCTACAAAAGTGATTATTTCTCAATTGTACTTCAACAGTCTTAGGAAAATCAGGAAGAGGCCCTTGAATGCTATTGTTATTAATAGTAAAATTCTCCAATTCAGGCAAACTAACAATTGAAGGTGGAAGAATCCCAGTAAACTTATTATCCCTAAGTTGAAGATCAAATATCTCAGTACAAGCAGATAAATCAGGAATTGAACCAGTAAATGAATTAGCATGAAGCCATACCTGAGCTAACTGGGTCATACCCGAAACAACATCAATCGGACCCGTTAACAACCCACCAACCTGATTATTAACCCAGAAATTCTGAATTGCAGACCCGTTGAACGAACCGGGTAAAGACCCACTCAAATTATTATAGCTCAATCTCAAATTCTGCAATCCAGGAAACGACCCGAATACATCTGGAATCGGGCCTTCCATATTTGCATTATTAACATAGAAACTCCTCAAACTTGGAGAATCAGTGAGCTCGGAAGGAAATTGCCATGGCGCAAGGTCTTCATTAAAAGAGAGGGAAAGAGTTTGAAGTGAAAACAACCCAGAAAACGCACCAGATGGAATTGAAGTAAAATTGTTATTATCAAGAAAAACAGTTTGAAGAAGAGTGAGATTAGCTAAAGAAGGTAAAGGGCCGATTAATTCAATGTTTTGAAGAGAAAGAGTGGTGAGTTGAGAGAGGGTATTAATGGAAGAAGGGAGTGTAATTTTCAGAGATAGAGAAGCAAGATTAATGGAGGTAACCCTGTTGCCATTATCACAGTTTACACCTTTCCATTTGCAAAAATCTGTAGCAGAGTCCCACCCAGAAGGAGGAGATGATCCGAAGGCTTTCAAGAAGTCATCCATGGCGGATTTGTCATCAGCAAAGGTTGTAGTGAAACTAAGGAGTGTGAGGAAGAAAAGGATTACCATTTCCATTTGGTAATTGGAGAGAGAGAGGGGAGGAGGAAATGTTTTGGAAAGAGAGGAGAGACATAGAGATGTAGATTGAGGGAGAAGAAGACCGGGAAAGTCTTCCTACAATAGTTATACAGAATATTTGAATTCTTTAACATTCAAAGTTCTCCCAAATCTCATTTTTTTCTACTCTTCAGTCAAAGTATTTGACATTATATATACTTCCTCCGTTTTTCTTTTATTGCACCATAAGGACTTTTACACTATTCACTTGATCTTCTTTGACCATCTTTTGTAATTTATCCATTAGGAAAAATATAGTTATGTGGGATCTAGTTACATTCGTCTCGAAATCTACTTTTCAAATATCAATTTTTTATAATTTTTACAAAAGTATAATTAAAGATATTAATAGCCAAAGTAATGCATTGGCAAACGTGAAACCCCTTATGGTGCAATAAAAAAAGAACGGAGGAAGTATATTTTTTTAATAAATAAAAACTACACCGTACTATTGTTCTACTGTGTACAACTGTACAATATAATACTATTGGTCAAATCGTACACACAAATAATGGAGAATAGTTTAATGAGTATGATTTGAACAAGAGTGTATACTTAAAGTCTATTCACTTCAGCTTAATTTCAATTCAATTTAACTCCTAATTTCCTTCTCTTAAAAAAATATTCATTTCACCTCTATTCAGTCCAGTTCAATCCAATTTAGTTCAGTAAATGTGAACAAACCCTTAAGGTTGAATGGAGTAAATTTTAAGAAAGAATTTACAAAAATAAAAATAAAAAAGGGTAATGTTATATGTAGCCCTAAGGCCTAAGGGTTATATATAAGCATTAAATATACTCTGGAAAATTATATAAAATTAGGAATTCATGACAAAAACACATGTAAATCAGTGTTATTAGTGTTTATATTTTGATGATTTCTTAACTTTTTACGATTTTCAAATGTAAATTTAATGCTTATATCATTATATGTAGCCCTAAGGGCTATGCATAATATTTTCCAAAAAAACCTAAACTATTCTTAATTTAATAAAAAAAAAATTTTAAAAAAAAACTCCAACAAATAAATAAGTGATACGGAGTAGAACAAATGATAAATAAGTGTCTATTAACAACTATCATAACACTATTCGGGGTATTTTGTAAATTAAATGGGCAAGTCTAATAATTTTGGATATAATTTGGATTGTTTTGCAAAATTAATTACCTACCCTAAAATCATGTAGTGTGATCTTTGTATTTTTTTTTTTTTATCACTATATCATTAATTATTACACATAATGACCATCTTTAAAAGGTTATCCTTATAAAGCTAACAGTAATTTGACACAATACGTTAGAGTAAAACATCATCCATTTTTTTTATGCAAATGAGGGGCTATGCCCCGGGAAAAAAGCATAAAAATAAAACTATACAATAATTAAACGTGGCAAGGCCACCCCAACGATGTCATCATGAAGAATTCGGCCTAGTTCAATAGGTGGGAATTGAATCAACTCTGTATTGTTGTTCTGGCGACACCTTGGTTGGCTAGCCAATCCGCTGCTCTATTTGCTTCTCGATAAATATGTTGCACTTGCACTTGCCAACTGTTGTCTTCAATAAGCTGCTTACATCTTCTGATTATATGAAAACCTTGTCCTCGGTGATTTTCTTCATTATTAAAATCAGCCACTACTACTTGACTGTCTAATTGAACTTGAACCTTGGCTGCTCTCATGCGTTTTGCAAGCTCCAACCCATATTCAATTGCTTTCAGCTCTGCCATAAAGGCATTACAATCTCCCAGCTTCAGCGAAAAAGCGTGCAGCATCTTACTAGTAGAGTCACGTATTAGGCCTCCACCTCCAGCTGGCCCAGATGCTCCTCTAGCTGCTCCATCAGTGTTCAATGCTAGCCAGCCAACTGGGGGTGCTTGCCACTTAATATAGGCTTCTGTTCTCACATTAGTAGTCTGGTTGCTGTTGTGAATATCCTCTCCTAGCACACGCCATACTTCCTCAAATCGAGCCAGCAAAAACTGATTAACATCAATTGGAGTTTCTTGAGTACGATCAAACACAACATTATTCCTCCATCTCCAAATCCACCAAATGGTAATTGCAAAATACGTAGGCCAAATCTCAGGGGACAGATCACTTCAAGTCTGGACCTTAATATTCCTTGCAATCCATTGTTGCAAATTACCATGAAAAAATCCCGGGTTAACAGCAGGACCTCCAATTTGCCTCCACACTTCTCGAACAGCTCTACAATCACGCAATGCGTGCAAAGTAGTTTCTTCATGGTTGTGGCAAGTCAGACACCAGGGGCTGTTTGTCAAATTACGCTTAACACGATTAGAATTTGTCATTATGCGGTCATGCATAGCCAACCAAAGAAAGACCTTTGCTCTTTGTTGCACTTTTAGTTTCCATATGAGTTTCCAAGAACCATCATCACCTATATCGTCCTCTTTCTTGATAATTTGCATAGCTGATTTTATTGTAAATTTTCCTTTCACACCATTCCCCCAATAGAGCATATCTCCAACTGAAGGGTCTTTGCGAAGAGCATGTGCTTCAATTAATCTCAAGATGTTAGCCGGTAATAAATCTGCAAACATGTCCCATTTCCATCCATTCACATCATCCCACAATTCTTCAACCGTAGCACCATCCAAGCACTCTGGAATATCCATGATGGCAGCAGCCTTAGGGGACTCGGCATAGCCCAATTATGGTCCCAAAAAAGAGTTGTGGCACCATTATTAATAGCTACCCTTGAGCCCTCACTTATATATTTAGCATTTTCCGAAATACCCTTCCATACATTAGACATATTTGCCTTGGATTCGAACATATCGATGTCGCACCTCCCCTTGCAATATTTAGATCGAAGCACACGAGCCCATAAAGCATTTGGCTCCGTCAACACCCTCCAACCAAGCTTGGTGAGAAAAGTCGCATTTAATTGCCTTGAAGATCTTAACCCAAACCTCCATGTTCTTTAGGCTTTTGAAGGCACTCCCAAGAAAGAAGATGTATTTTACGGTGCTCTTCATCCCCTCCCCAAATAAAACGCCTCGTTTTTTTATCAATCTCATCACAAATCGAACGGGGAATTTTTGCCGTTTACATTGCATAGGAGCTCATAGTGGTCAGAGTAGTTTTTGCCAAAGTGATTCTACCAGCTAAAGAAACATACTTTGATTTCCATCCTGCAAGTCTCCGGTCAATCTTCTCACAAAGATAAGCAAAAGTATCTCGGGTCACCCTACTTGTGAGAGTGGGCATGCCAAGATATGTTCCCAAGTCATCAGTTTCATCAATCCCCAAAGCATGACAGATAGGAATAATTTCTTTCGTACGCATACTTTGAGAAAAATACGTTCTTGATTTGGAGTAGCTTACCTTCTGCCCGGATGCACTACAAACTCGTGCCAAGCATTCTTGAATAACAATTGCTTGCTCAACTGTTGCCTCTGCAAATAAAATTATGTCATCAACAAAACATAAATTCGAAAGCTTAGGACCGTTTCTACTAGCATAAATAGGCTTCCATAAATTCTGAATAATTGACTCCTCAATAAGTTGATTTAACCTTTCCATACATAACACGAAAATATACGGTGATAAAGGGTCACCTTGACGAATGCCACGTCCCGGTTTGAAGACTTGTGTAGGCTCTCCATTCCACATTACCCGCATAGAGGAGGTAGTGATGCATTCCATAATAAGATCTAACATAAGGGGAGGAAACCGAATCTCATACAAAGTATCCCGAATAAAATCCCACCTAAGCCGATCATAGGCCTTCTCAAAATCTATTTTAATCGCCGTAAGACCCTTTCCACTTCTTTTATTTCTCATAGTATGAGTAACTTCCTGAACGATGACAATATTGTATGTAATTTGTCTTCCGGGAACAAAACTTGTTTGAGTACAAGAGGTTAAATGAGGCATCATTGGCTTGATTCTATTCACTATGGTTTTCGTAATAATTTTATATGCCACATTGCACAAGCTAATGGGGAGAAATTGAGAAGCAAGCTCCGGATTATCAATCTTTGGAATAAGGACAATAAAAGTCTCATTTAAATTTTCCGGGAGGCCATTACCATTCAAAGCATCAAGGTCCACCTTGTACACATTTTCTGCCACTAAGTCCCAATGTTTCTCATAATTAACTTGAATTTTGTAAGATTATATTAACAAATTTTACCATTCAAGATGAGCAGACCACATTAGTTGAGATGAATTGTTTTTCATGGCTTCTTTAATACGAGTATAGTACTGGGTCCAAGAATGAAAAATGTCAAGGCTTCATGCCAGCCTGTAATTTGACTTTCTTAAACCTCCTAACTATTACTATATTAGCAAAAGTCAAAAGTTTTGGAGTAATAATATTCCAGCAAAAGATACATTCTCACTAGTACTATTACTATACTCTTATAAGGGAGACCTCCTGGTGCAGTGGCACAATAAGTCGCCTTGCATCCTCGAAGTGCGAGGTCTCATCCTCACTAGTGACAAATCCCACTCCCTTATGTTTCCTGTGATATAAACCTTCGGATAGGGCTCGATTAACCTTATTTAAAAAAAATATATATATTATACTCTACTTCCCAAAAATTGTTTGTATATTAATAATATAAATATTATGAAAAATTGGATTTAATAATCCTAAATTAGGCCAATTTTCTTTAAATAATCTCGACTTTTGATTATTTTTGAATGATCCTAATTATATACAATATGAATATTATTCCAAATTCTATATTTATATGAGTAAGTTTTTTTTAATTTGTTTTTAGAAAGAAACATGGGTCTAATAAAAGTTTTGGTTAATTAATCAAGAATTCAAGTTTAATTGAAATTAAAGTAAAAGAGTTTGATCGGGAAATGAACAAAAAGAAAGAAAAAAATGAAATATGGTTCTATGTTCATGTAGTTCCCGATGTAATAAGTATTGTTATTTAAATTTATATAGTGTATTTTTTTTTTATTTGGTTGATTTAGGATATTAATTTTTAAAATTATTCCAAATTCCTTTATTTTGTTTTGAAATCTGTCTATTAACTTGCAATTCTTATGTGTAAGGACATGTTCATCCTCATGTTTATGCACTTGACTTGACTATTGAAGAGATGGTGAATTTTATAAAAATTTCTAATCATCTGCATCGTGATCTTGTTTTTCTTCTATATGTTGATGTATTTTAAATA